AAGGTCTTCTCCAACCTAAACGATTCTATGATTCTAAATTCTGTCTGCTGAAAATAGCATATTTTTTTTTTTTAGTGCTATAGTAGAAAGAGGTACTAAACTTTTGACACGTGACTTAACAGGAAGGTCAAGCTAAAATCAAATTTAGAACAAATAAATGATTTCTTGGTTAATTTCTGCATAATTTCAGAACTGACTTCACAGAAACACAGTTTAGTAGCTTAGAAATACTTGAAAATGTGACAGGCAGTATTTTCAACACAATTATATTTGCTGTTTATTTTTTTAGTATTTCAAATAAAATTCCTTGTTCATTCACTCACACGTGTATTTACAGCCTTCCCCTGACCTGTCCCTCTATTTCTACACCTGTTCTGCCAAAATAAAGTATAGACCTGTCGAGAACTCACCTCACTTTCAGACTGCCTGTTTACTTTAAATGAGTTTTTATGTTGGTGGTGATGTAACCCTAAGCCTGAAATGTCAGCACGGTTTTCTTATTAACACACTGCCACAGACTACGCTGAGATAAATTCTTTTCCCTCCTTCCTCCTGGCATTTGCCACACAAAGCAGCTAAACCACCTTCTGTACTGGCTGCTCCTACCCGGATTCCTCAACCACCTGGAAGGAGGAAAGGGCTGCTCCTTGTTCAGGGGACCCTGGACCAGCAGAGAGCCATGATGCACCAGTGACTCTCTAACCTGGCAAATACAGATCCATTTTAAGGGCGTCCACTTTCTCGGCCAGTCTGCTTCACTGTGTTAAACTCATGTTACAGCCCAGATGTCAATGTCTATTCCCAAGATGACACTGGGATAGCAGCCCTATTGCTGTGAAACATGCACTCCTTCTCCTTCACCTTCTCTCCATTTTTTTCTTTTATAAGAACCACTGGGCTGATGCTGCTTAGACCACATCCAGGACAGGTACCAAGTTTCAGTGTCACATCATTGCCAGTAAGGTCGTCAAGCTCTTAAATGAGCTCTTCCACCAACTTGCAACCAGGGCTACCAAAAAACTGTGGGCTAACAAAGCTGGTCGGCAGACAGCTACTCTCCCTCACTTAAAAGTTGTCCGTGCCTGGAGACATGGTTAGACCTTGAGTCGATATGGTTAGACCTTGCATAGGCCATCCAACTTGAGAAGCATAGCAAGGTATGCCCCATCACTGATTCCCCACGGCCAACACAATAACCATGACCAGGGCTGATCTGCACCAGAAGAAATGACCACAGGTACGTATGAAAGCTCTGGGATCAATTGTGCATGTTCCTTCTGTCACTTCCAGGGCTCCAAATGCTCAGAGAAGGAGCAAACTCTGCAGCTCCTTGAGTTTTTGTGCTGCTTCAAGCCAGGTTCCTCTCCTTGACATAATTTTCATGGGCTGTAAAAGTATCAGGAGACCTGACAAGACTGCTGGAGCTCAGTGCCTCTGACTAGAGCCAGAAAAAGCTTTACTTAAAGCAAAGTAACCACTCACAACACAGATTGTGGAAAACTCAATTCAATTCCATCCCAATAATTATTACGGCACACCAATAGGTCTTCCTTTATTTATTTTTGCAAGATAGAGGCCAGCAATGTAAACACTAAACTAGAAATCGATCCATCATAGTAAAATTCATCATAAATCTAGACTAAGTTTAGCAGTCAACTTTGAAATTGCTATAAATGAGACTTCACAGCCTCTGCAAGACTCATAGCAGAATCTATGCAGCCATCAAAGTTGGAATGAGTAAATCCATCGCCTCCACAAATCAGGAGAGGTTGAGTATGAAGAATCATTTGTCCCAAACAATTGGGCACAGCTTTTGTAACCTGAAAAAGAAAAGCATAGAGAGAGATGGAAAAGAAAATACTCACCCAAATTTCACATGACAAAGGCCTGTATTCCTGAGAAACATGCCTTCATACGAAGCACCCCTCCCACCCAGATGATAGGTCCAAGCATTAACAACCAAAGCATCACAGTAAAATATTTATCTTATGAGTTAAATAATTAGAATAAAGCTTTCCCGTATGTGGAAATTTAGAAACTTTACAGCCCTGTCCTGTCTCAGTCTGTCTCAGCAGAAATGAATTGCCTGACCCTGGATAGATGAGGCATGGAGATCTCTAAGCCAAAAGGTATGAAGATACATGATCTCACATCAGCAAAGGTGGGCTTGCAAAAAGTCCCAGATACGTAACAACTGTTGAACAAAGGAAAGGGAGCCTGCTGTTTCCAAGAGAGCCTGCAACATGATTGGGTTGACCAGGTGAGCTTCCTAGATGGGAAGTGAGGTGGACTTCAGAGTAGCAACTGTCATGATGACCTGCCCATGCTTCATGCTGCTGTGCAAGCATGCATACATACAGCCTTGGGACAACCCACCCTGTCTCTGGCTCTGCTACGTTGGTCTCCTTTTTCATCTGAATAGCACAACAATTTTTAGACACTGCTAGAGATACAATGGACACTTTCTCTGTAAGTAGCATGGGGCAAGTTCTGAATTGCTTTGGTTGCTTTGATAAATATTTAATGTCATTCTCAATGTATGCATTGTATTCATTTTAGATATAATTTTTCTGGCACTATACCCTCAATTAAACTTTTATCTGTGGAGTGGCAGCTCTTGAGTAGTTCTGTGTAACACTTCTGAAAGTGAATGGACTTTGCTTTGGCCAATACCTATTAACCTGAAGCTACCGGGAATTCATGGGGAAAACAAGGTCTCTTTTTGGTATTGTACCTTACGACAAACACCAATGCATGTCAAACTTCAGAGTAAAAGCACACAGCATTTGTGTTTTTACCACTCTTGGCTGTGTTGTAGCCTGTTTCAAACCTACGTACAAAGGCTGAGTGTCCATGTTGTACTAAATCAGTGCATCCCAGAGCGGCACCACTGAATCTCAGAATGGAGATAAGGCGGCAGCAGCAGCAGCAGCGCTGGCCTAAAGGTAAACATGAAGGGAAGGCATACTCGGGCAGAAGGGATAAAGAAGGTAAGAAGAAGCAGGACGGCTTGATGATGAAGTGATTGGAGGAGGAAGGTGGGAAGAAACAGTCTGAGAAAAGGAATGACAAAACAAGATCCATAAGGATGAAATGCTGAAAAAGAGGAAAAAATATCTAGAAAGCCAGAGAGAGAGAAGGGGGGAAAAAAGAGGAGAAGCACAGCAGTAGACCAGCAATAGAGATCAAACCATAGAGATCATAAAGTATGATGCAGAGAGTACAATTTTCTTTCGATCATTTCTTGACTTTCTGCCTTTGGCCCAAAGATACATTCTGGATTCAAACATATCTTTTGGTCCAAAGATATGTTTTGGATTCCTGTGCAGTAAACCATTGCTGTATCCTATCGTGCAACTGTCAGCTTCAGTGAACAAGACCTAAAGGCCAACGCATCCTCTTCAGTCCACGGGATTTTTCCACTGATTCAAATGTACACTCAGCTAGCCATTGTTGTGCCATTATCTGCCATTTCCAAGCACGGATCAGCTGCAAAATACCCACATTTATATTACTGGCTGCATTTTGTGTTACTGGCATCTTACCGTCTCTTTAAAAGAGGTAATTATCTGAAATGAATTTGTAGCCAGTTGCGACCCATTCTCCATTATTTAACTTAAGAGTCTAGCCCTGTATGGTAAATCCAGCCAGCGATCATCTTTCTCAGACTAATTTTAGGTCAGTACTTCATTTATTCCTAAATTTTTGTTACAGATCGAGGTCACTGAGCACAAACAATGAAGAAAGGTTTAGCAGAAAAAGGCTTTTTGAGTGTCCTTCCTTCTTGACTACTCAGTGCTTATTTGACTCTGGCTGTAGCAAACAGGTTCTGCTTTATCATACTGACCACAGGACCAATATTTGCACATCTCAGCCTCCATCTCTTCGCCTGTGTGGTAATATTGAGTGCTCAATGTAGTAAAGGCCCTCACTCTAGACATAGTGACTGGGGAAAGGAATGATCCTGCCCCTTCTTCAAGTTCTTCTGAAGGTGTTGTCCAACATATATTTCAAATTACCCTCGGTTATATGGCACAGCCTGTTGGATCTCCATCCTCGAAGACTTGAAGACTCAGCTAGACAAAGCCATGGTCGAGGTCACCTAGTGCTGGCAATAGTTCTGCTTTGAGCAACAGGCTGGACCAGGGACCTGGAGAGGTTCCTTCTGAGGTCCCTTCTGAAGAGGTCCAGTTTCTATGATTCTGTGTTTTCCCAGTATCCCTTATACTTATAAAGTGACTCTGTCAAAGGGACATGATGGGTTGGGAAGCTCTTGGCTCTGAATGCTAATAGTGTCTTATCATAATTAAAGCAGGGGATCCAGAATTGCAGCTGTGCTGCTAAGTAGTGTCAGTAGAAGTCTGGAAGTCCTAATCCCTCATCCGCCATGGATAATTGTAATGTCTGCATTTTAATCCCAGGATTGTGTTTGGCCATGTGAAGGACGTTACAGTCAGATTTAATTAACAAGTAGGATAAATCCCATCTAAAAGAGTCAGGGGAAAGATGCAACCATCTTATCAGTTCCCTTTGCTTCTGTGGCAACAGCTTATTACAATTGAAAGTAAAGATAGCTTTAAAAGAAAGAGGGAGCTCTGTCCCAGATATTTAATTTAGGTAGTGATTATTTTATAGGGTGGCATTAGAGATCTCTTCATTGAGATAACGGATCTGACCTACACTGACTTATTTGCAATCTAAGACATATTGACATTCATCCACCGAATTAAAGACTGGTGATAATTCCTCCTGTGACACAGCCATAAAGCACAAGCAGCTGCTGGAGTCGTTGGTTTTGGTTAGTGGCAGCATGGTTGATAGCAGGCAACGGAGGCAGGAGAAGAAAGCCGGAAGAGCTGCAAATTGTACAGTGGTTTGAGAAAATAATAGAGCATCATACAGCATTATGATGTCTGAACGTAATTTTTAAATTGGGGAAACAGGATGCACACCTAGTGATTTAGGAAGACAACAATTTTGAAGCAATTGTGGAAAATAAGAGTTCATTCCTACAGTCACTGTTTCAGCTGCCTCTACAAGATGAAGCAATAGGTACAAAGTTATAATAAATCCTGTATGGCCATAACTTTGCCAGGATTCAAAAAGTATAGTTGTTTGGTAGAATGCAATTGAGACTTTTTTTTAATTCAGTAGTAAGAAACGAACTGCTGTTCTTGTCTTTTCCTTTATCCATGTTTTCATGGTGAAATAAATCAGAATGGGCCATATATGATGCAATACTTACACATCACCTTTGACACTGTGCTAAAAGTGTGAGTAGTGCAAGGAAAAGGCATATTAAGTCCTTTCCTTGCACCCACAAAGTAGCTGAATTTGACCAATTTTATGATAGAGCTCTGTGATAGAAGCAGTATCTAAGGCACATTAATTCTGTTTAAAAATACTTGTTGCTTTGTTTTGGGAGCCCTTTCCAGAGCTGGTCAACCAAGTGTCTGTCTGTTGGGAGACAGATCCAATTCTTCTCCTCCCTACCACCAGCAGCTCTTGTGCTCGCTAGCAGTTTGAAGCAGAAAGGTAACAGATAATGCAGAAGACCAGAAGTCACAACCAGAAAAAGATGCTTTAACAGTGGCAACTGTACAAAGATACTGTTACTAGGAAAAAAAACCCTGCACTGATAAAGAGGAACATATAAAACATACCACGATTTTCGTATGAGTCATCTGAAACATTAGAACCTATGTTAAGGTCATTTTTGTACAACTGAGAACAAATACGATGCACTGGGAAGTGATTTGCAAACTACCAATACCTAACTCGCAGAAAAATAAACTTTGTGCTAATGAGACCAGGTTCCTAAATTGGACGCAGATCAAGGGCTATAAGCAGACCTCACAACAGTCATCTACAGTAACTATTCCAGACTTCATAAACGAAAAATTTTTAGGGGATTGCTTTAAGTAAATATTTTGCATCAGTTTCCACATCCAATTTCACCAATGTAATTTAACTTAAGAGGCTTTGAGTAAACATGTAGATGCACTCTGATACTTTAGGAAATTGCCAACCATTTCCTTGGATTTTAAAAAGAAGTCTGTAAAATATACACATTTTGCTATTATTACCCTTAGGTAGTTTACTTCAAAATATTTTTCGCATAACATACTGTTAAATTGAACTGGGCCAAATCAAATAATAACAATTAGTACGTCTGAATGCAAGGACTTCTGCTTCTCTGTGGTAGGGTGGGAATTTCGCTACTAGTATCGCATACTTTCGGATACAGAAGAGACAGATTGAGTCATATTTTTAAATACCAGCAAAAATCTCACCAAAGTATGTGGGATTTACTTCCTTCCTGTGCACTGCTCCTGTCCCTACTCACCAGGAGCAGTGCATAACTTACCACTGAGCCAGGTCCACTACATAAAAAGATGACTAGAAACGATCTGGCTGTCGTTGGCCAGTCTTGGATTCTGCTCATGGCTACGTGTAGGAATGTATTATGGATATCCAGCAACTATCCCCTTTCCTCTGGCTCCTTGAGGAGGAAAACCACTGGGTCATATGATGTCCTGTTTCTTGCGATACACCACAAGTCTGTGCTATGGCATTGCTCCAGCAGTGTCCTCCCAGCTGACTGATCCCCACCAGAGAGTACCTGAGAGTATCTCCATTTCTGACACTTGACGCTGGCTGGTTTAGGTAGGGATGGCACAATCCTCTCCAGGTGACTGAGAATTAACTGCTGCACCTCTGCAGGGTCTGAATCTAGGTGCTCGCTTCCAAATGCCACAGTTGTGTGAACTACAACTGAGGGCCCAATTTCAGGAGACTCTGAAATAAATGAGAGAGATGCTTTTGAAAGATTACTCATTAATACTTGCCTTCCCTGCTCTTCCAGCTGGAAAAAACACAAGGAGTAACAACACAAATGGTTCACAAGAATCACAGTGAAGAAATCCAGGCTTTTTGCAAAATTAATTTGTGATGGTTTTCCCATTGCAATAACCCTAGCTCCACATATGTCTCCTAGAGGAACCTCAAGGCATTCCCACACCCCATAAGTAGCAGTTGGAAGGAGCAGGGAATATACTGGAAGAAAACTCTTCCCCTTTTTCCTCCCAGACGTTTCAACAGGCTCTACACGGGGAGGAGCTGAGGGCAGCTCAAATGCTGGTGTTTATCCCAGCAGACTTGGAAAGGGCCAAGCTTTGTTATGGCTGGGGCTGGTTGTAGATGCTCTACAGCAAGGGACTTCTGCCCCCGCCAGCACATTGGCTTCTGTCCTTACAGACTTGGTCTGGACAGCCAACAGCCAGTGGCCAGAGAATTTGCATAGAATAGGGGATTTTCAGGCTCAGTGATTTCCCAATGCCAAGGCAAGATGAGGACCCAGCAGATCCTTGTGTGAGTCGTTCCTGCTGCTGCTGTTCTGCTTGGAATGAGCAGGATGCATTGGCTGGAGCAAGGACACAACCTGGGTTCTGCCATATTTCAGCTGAGAGCTCAAACTCACTGAGCTGGTCGTTAAATTAAGTGATTCCTTCTTGTTCCATTAACCAGAAATTCCCTCTTTTGGATGCAGAAAGCCTTTTCTGGCTAAACCTTTGTTTGAATTAGCACATTCCTAGAAAAATATTTTAGTTTCAGCAAATGAGCATTTTATGACCAAGGAATACACAAAGAAAGAGGCAGTTGAACACTTTCTGACCAGTTCTGGCTGTTAGGTACCAAGCTTGATAGAAATCTTTCTCCCTGCTCTGTCAGTGAAGAGATCTCCAGCTCCAGCTCCTCCAGCTGGAGACCCCCTTTGAGGAGATGACAAATTCCAGCTTTCCCAAAGGCAATCAAAATGTTTTTCTCTGATAAGCTTTCTGTTCTGGGCTGATCACTTCAGAATACACTACCGAAATGCAGCAGTACTAAGTCCTAGCACCCACAGCAAGCGTGAAAGCAATGGCTTTAACTTCAGTTGGAAGGATCCCTTCACTGCGTCTCTTTCTTGGGTGGGCCAGCTCAGTCAACCCTTGCTCTCGTAAACTGAGAAAATGTGACAAAAAGGGCCGAAGATGTTTCCTGGTTGTGATCAGCAATGCACTGTGACAGGCCACGTCTGAAGGCACCGAGCCATGGTGCTGCCTTTTCTTAAAGTTCTCCTTTTCCAAGAAAGGCACATCTAAGATCAGAAGATCACTCACTTCTCTCCCAGGGTTGGACTCGCAAGCTCTGTTTTCAGCAAGTACTACAGCTCTTTTCCTGGGTCATTTCCTGAAGTGTCCACAAACTTTGAGTTTGTTTCCTATTTTAATCTGAGGTGCTGATTTTGCTCTCTTGTGTCTTGGGCTTGAAAGCCAGCCTTAACCATTGGGGATGGACAGGTCCAAGATAGCCACCCGACATGGATTTGGGATGAGGGTAAGGCAGATCTGGGAACTAAGACTGTGGAGTGAAACAAGGACCACTCTTGTCTAGAAGCAGAGGCTCAGCCAAAGGGGCCGTCTTCTTCCCTGAGCTCCAATGAACTGATTGCCTGAGTCTAACATCCAGCCTCAGCCTCATCTTCCTGAGGTTCCTCCTGCCACCCCCAAGCCTGGTTTCACATGCTAGTACAGGGCATATCTGTTTGCATCAGCTTTTCAAACTGTCTGGAAAAATGTCAGAAATGCTACTCAGTCTCTCCTTCCCATTTTGGGGGAGAAAACAGGTATTCTGATGTCTCTACATAGAGACTGTTAGGGACAGAAGACCAAGTGAGGAAGCCTATGAGGTACCTTGGGATTTATTACAGTGTACATGGTATTCTGGCAAATTCTTCCACATAAACTTGGCAAAAAGGCTCATTAAAAGAAGTCTAAGCATTTTAATAAAATAAATATCCATTGCTTGCTGTGACTTGTTATAGCCAACATAGCCCTTGGACAGGGCCGTCTTCTTTCAAATCTCTCATCTCTTCCATAGCATGTACAAAACAAGTTTCAGGAGAACAGGCAGTTTGTTGAGTTTTTAATTCCTCCTTTGAGCTACTGATAGCTTGGAGAGCTTCCAGAGGCCACTGAGTCACAGCCTTCCAGTACTGAAATATGCAGCCTGCAAGGATCAAGTTTAGCCTCAAGCCCTTTTCTTTCTTCTGCAAAAATACTGGCTAAGAGAGGAGTTTAAAATAGATTTTTCCCTGAAAGCAATGGGAGTATCTCAGCCTTGATGCACCGGGTATGAACGACTGTTCAGCTGCTGCAGGAGTAAAGCCATCATTTTCCTCCCAACGTGTTTAGACCAGGCTGCAACAGCTAGCTTAAAATCGAGGGCTTCTGGCAGGGCTTCTCATGAGATTTTAATTTCCTTTATTTGTGCAAGGATGCAAGCTGGCCACAGCCATGCTAGCAGATGACGAAGTAGCACGGGAGATGCGGCAAGCCCGGGAACACTCGGCAACGTGAGGGGTAATGATCTGAGGGTGAATGGAAGCAGCATAAAAGCTTTCATCTGCTCCCAGTTCTCCCCCTTCCTCCCTGTCATCCCAGCTGCACGGCAATTAATCTGATCAGTTGATGCGGTGGAAGGCATAAGACGCCGAGTAGATCAGAGCTAGAGTGAGACAGCAGAGTTGGCTGTAGCTTATACTTACTTAATGAGCAAGGACCCGCTCTGCCAGCGTTGGCAGCGTCCTCAGCATCCGCAGTTGCTGAGGGACCTCCCTGAAAACCTATGAGCAGCGAGCTTGCGTCTGGCTCTCCTTCCTCTGTCCAGCCCATGCAGGACAGCCGCAGTGGTGACGTTGGCTGCAGGGGCTGGGTGCTTGTCCCCCATCCCCTCCGGTCTGCCTCTGTTGACTCGCACAAGGAGGAAAGTGGCTTTTTGTGCAGAGACCCTGCTGAGGTTGAGGCCAGGGAGGGAAGCACCGGCATCATCTCGTGCAGTGACGGCAGTCTGGCGGATGTGGTTTGTGCCCAAGGTTCAGACTCTCCTCTTCTCCATGGCATTGGGAAGATGCAATACTGTAACTACAGGTTTCCTTTGCTTCTGCATTAAGTTTTCCTCGTTTTACTGTTAATTTCTTTTGCTCTGCTGCATCGCACGGGACCAACACAGATACATAGTAGATGAAAAGTGACGCATGTAAGGATAAACACATTCCTTTCAAGACTCATTTTGCTTCCATGTAAGCAGAAAAGAACTGCATGATCTTTGGCGTACCGCCCTTTCCAGCCCAGCATCCCGTCTCTCACAGGGAAGGTGTTGCAGAAGCCGCTACATCCCTGCCTGGCCTGGAAGCAGAGGCTGGGGCTGTGCGGACCCTGCAGACTGCGGAGCAGCTGGCTCATGGGGATGGGAAGATGGGCAGAGCCAGGCTCTGATGTGCATCCCAGACTTAACACAACCACCCTCCTTGGGATGTCTTGGCCACCACCACTGTCCTCATGCAATTGCTCTGAGCAGCCTGCAAGGCTGAGCAGAGTAGTAGGGATGAACAAATCCCAGTTTTTTTTTGTCCCAAAGTATGAAGTTCCACCAGTCCCCCACAGAGAAGTCTAGTCCACAAAGTCCTTATGGAAGACACTAAGCACTTCAGACCGAAGCCTGGCTGTACCGTCAGTCTGATCAGTAGTGTCTTCCCCTCTTAGCGAGTCTGAAACCACATACATGGAAAAAGAAAATGGATGAATTGAAAAGACAGGAGATTAAATAAACGTGGAATTAAGTAAGTGGGGAACAGAAAAGTGAGGATCTAACTGCATCTTCCACATCCTAAAGGGAAGGTGACAGAGATGACAAAGCCAGACTTTTGGTAGAAATTCAAAGCAACAGGACAAGAGCCAATGGGTACAATGGCAACGAGTGAAAACCTCAATTGAACATGAGGATACAATCCCTTCCCATGTGAGAGGGGAATCCCTAGGACAGGGCCCTGAGTGGTGAGTGGTCTCCATCCTTGGGGACTGCCCTGACTCGCCCGGACACCTGCCATAGATGTGATGTTTGCTCAGCTCGGAGTAGGGTCAGGCTAGAGACTCCCACCCTGCTGCCTCCAGCTGGAGCCTTGTAAGTTTGTATAAACCCATGAAAACAGACAAGGAAGACCTCCAACACTGAGAAGCCTGAAGTACAAGTTGTCACAGGTAGAGGACACACCAGCTATCTGAATGGGGTGTCAAGGACAGAAAGAATAAAAGCATTTAGAGTTCACCATACACTGCACTTCAGCCAGTTATAACCATGAACTAAACACTAGCAAAGTCTCCTCATGTTGAACTCTCCGGAGAAGCCAGATCTTGCCTCACAACCTGGGAATGAGGGGAAATGTGTTTGGATGGTGAGCAGGAGAAGGTGGCTATCAGCTTCTTAATGTTTTGGTACCATCTTAACACTCATCAGTAATTCCCAGCTGGAGGAATCACAAAGGGTGTGTAAGGAAAGAGAAGGACACACTGCTGACAGTGAGAATTTATGCAGGATTAAGCCTGTTAGGAATGTTATCTTCCAGAAAAAGGATGGGGCAAATAAAAGACACCCTGCAGAAGGGCACAGAGAACAGAGCCCAGGGCCACTTCCCCAGCACAGTGGCTTGCGGTTCAAGAGCATCCAGAGTCAGAAAGGTGTCTCCTAGCTTTGAGTAACACATTTAGTGTGGAATGGTAAGATGGAAGAGCATTGTGTCCTTGGGTAAAGCTGCTCACCAAAGCTGTTCGTGCTAGAAGCATAGCCATCATTATAACGGTGGGATAAAAAGACTTGCGGGTGAATTCCTCCGTGCACTCTGTACTGCAGGACAGTGACAATATGAACAGCCTGTGGTGCCAAGTCCTCCTATGGGGACCTCCTTCTGCTATGGGAAG